CTGAGTTCCATCCCCGGTTCTGCAAAAAAAAAAAAAAAAGCCAGATACATCTATAGATCACACTAAAATGGTCCAATATTCTTCATTGCTAAGACAAAAATCTTCAGTAAAAACAGAATATTACCATAATAAGTAATACATGTCCAAGCAAACTAGTATCCTGAATGGCATTTTGTACATATCACAGGCAAAAGAACTAGAAAACCTGAGCATTCTAACATATCTGGAATGTTGGTAAACTCATTTTGAAACAAAATTTTTTCTTGACAACTGAAAATACTTAACTACTAGAGGTACATGAGTTTTCAGGCAAAAATTTTACTTCACTAGGTTTTGGAGAGGCAGATAAAAGAACAGGAAAAGTAAGGAGAACACTGGATCTACCATATTGAATATGAACTAGAATAGGACAAAGAACAAATGGATATAAGTCTGAAATGGGAGCACTGGTATAGAAACTACTAAAATTGATCATATTTTAATTGCGTTCTCCATAAACCAAGGAGCATTCTAGGTATATCATCAACATCCACATGGCTGACACTGACAAAAGATCTACAATCTGAGGTACAGGATCTCAGGATAAATCCTGAGGGGATTTCACTGACCTTACCAGACTCAAAAGCTACAACTCTTATTGCATAGGTCTTGCTTTATCTTGGTCTTAACCATTCAGCAGAAAAGTATAAAAATGAGGTATAAGAAGTAAAGCCATGGTGTTATGTTGAGTTGTAGGGGAGTCAGGTCAACAATTTCTGACATTGCCAGTCAAACAGAAGACCCAATACTATTATGGACTATTGGACTCTTTTAGAACATTTTGCTGAGTTCACACACCCATAATACTCAAATGATGGAACCAAACAAAAAAGGGGATACAAATGAATGTCCATTTTGTATCTGCGTATTCCAAATGGTTAGGATAGATATATATAGTTACATTCTCTTAATGAATAGAGGGATTTGTTCTAATAGTGTTTGTAAATAGGATATCATGTCTGCATCTTGTACAGTAAATAACCACTAGGAAGAGAGAATGCAATGTGTTAATTACTGGAATTGTCCTACCAATTTGATTTGAAACTGTCTCATTGCTATTTGTTTCTCAATAAAATTATGGAAAAAAATTTTTAAAAAAGTAGTTGTTCAGATTACCAGATATAAACATGCAAATTTGGTAAAAAATTAAGCATTAACTGCTCCTTTCCATAACCAATAGAAATTTGTAATACAATTATCATAGCTATCTTATATGTATATATTTAAAAAATACAGAATGAAGAATAAAGTTAGACAAGAAAATTTCTGGATGGTATATATGTTTTCACTGTTGCTTATTAAAGGGAATTATTCTTATCAACACTATAATTGAATTAGCACATTATTTTCAGTCTGTACTCTAAAAAGAGTAGTAAAGACTCTATTGTTCTGGCCACATAAATGACATAACCAGAGGAGTTCCATCATGGCTCATAAGAGGCAAGTGTGCTTGAGAAGTACTCAAGAAAAGTGCTGGGAGGTACAGTGTAGCTACTTAAAAATGGACCGTGGGGCTGGCAAGATAGGTTGGCAGTCTATGTGCTTGTCAGGGGGCCAGGCAAAAGCAAGGACCCATCCCAGGTATCACAGGCCATACCGACCCTAGAATCCCAAGAGTGCTGTGGGGGCCACTGAAACCGGGCATGGTTGTGCACATCTGTAATCTCAGTGCTGGGGAGGCTGACAAAGGAGGATCATTGTGAGTGTGAGCTTCGTAATGAGACTCTGTACCGAATAAATAAAAGATTTTTGAAAAATTAAGTAGGAAAAAAAAACAGAGAAATGGATTTTGAACAAAGACCCAGAGATTGGAAAGCACTTGATGGAAAAGCCCACAAGTGAATCCCAGTACGGGGTATTTAGAAAAAGAAGCAGGATCACCCCTAGATCATGGCACAGCTCACACCCTAGGGACAGCAAACACACTATCATAGAAAAAGATCTAACTCCCTGATACAAGAAGCTAGGGTCTGCAGAGGTGGCAGAGCTGCTGCATTTGTCACCCAGCCTAGCAACCACCATCCATTACATACCTGTCCTTACTCCCATCTTCCTAGGGTGGGGGAAGCCCTGCAAGCAAGATACATATATGTGGACGAGGGCACTAGAAAAATTGAAGGCCGGAAAATTATTTGGAGGGCAGTGACTAAGTTAGGAGAAGAAAGCTCTTGGGAAAGAAAGGAAAAAGTTTACAGTCCTAGACAGGAAGCCAGAACCATATATTGAGAAATCTGTAACTCAATGAGTCACAGAAATGGGAAGTGGTTGCTACTGGTATGGGAAGGGGACTTTTGAGAGGAAGAGGAGAATGGAAAGTAAAAATGATCAAGATGCAGTGCATATATGTGCCAGTTCCCCAAGATGAGTTAATTACTGTTTCACAAACATACTAATAAAAAAAGGTTGGAGCCAGAAGTGTGTGTAGAGCCCACCAAAAATGTATGCACACTTCAGCAGTTCACTGTAGTAGTAAATGTCGGGAAGTTAAGGGCTACCACTTTGAACACTTCCTTTAATTGCAGAGGCCAAAGGTAACTTACAGTAATCCCATGATTTCTCAATAAGTTCAGTATTCAAATATTTAAGTTTTTCTTTTCCTCATGTATACATTTTTAGCAGAATATATATATATGTATATATATACTGATATATATATATGCTAGTGTTGATTTTTTAAAATTTTAATTAAAATATAAGTAGTTATAGTTCAATAAGTTTTATCAATTTATTAAAACAGAGGTCCGGAACACTGAAAAAGAAAATTCATTTGAATTCCATGTGTTTACATTTCCATGAAAGACATACTAAACACCATACTCACCAAAGAGTTAATCAGCATTTATCACGAATATGCATGCTCTCTAATATTTTGCTAGTAAAAGAATGTACCAGTTTTTGCTTTGAGTCAGTACAGAGCCCTACTAAATATTAGATGAAAGACAAACAGATTGCTTTAAAATTGTTATCTCTGCAGCAATAAAAAGAAAATCATTTTCAAAAGCCTTGTTGGATTCTTAAATACAGTTTTTGTTAAAAGGCAAGTCATATGAAAATACAAGGTATATTTATACAAGTCAGCAAGTACATAAGGCTCACATGACAATATTTTTTAAAGTCTAAATTCTTAAAGAAGGTAAAGTCCTTAACTCACTTCACACTGTGACTTAGAGAATATAACGTATTTAGATTCAGTCTTTTAACAAAAAAACATAGGTATTACTATGAAAGGTACTATAAATTCCTTTTGAAAGACCAGAACTTCAAAATTCAAAGGCTCTTCCACGATGATTTGAGTGATATATAATTACCTCTGTGCTAATATCAGACTGAGCTGAAGCTGTGCCACACTTGAGCCTGAGCTTTGTCACCAGCTGCTCCGAGTCTTTAACTTCACTAAAGCGGAAAGCTGTTTTTCCTTTGATGCTAATGATGACAGATTTGCTGGAATCATTTATCTTATCTACAGCTAAGACCTAGAGATTGAACAGATACTTAGTGAATTACATTATCCCTTACGCCTGACACTTTCAGGTAAAATGTGTTCAGCTTATCCTCTTGTAGTAAAGGTTTTGATCTATGACATGACTTATGAAGAGATGGACTTTTGGTATTAGTTGTACCAATAATACAAGTAACCGCAATGTAAGCTAGTTCACTTTTTAAGGAAATGAATTAAGGTGCAGCCTTTAAAACTGACAATACAAACAAAACATCCAGTGCTAACTGCTGAGAATTTATTCCTAATACAAAAGCTATCAATTCTGTTCTTTCTGACAGAGGATATACAATGTTATATTCTAAATTCTGGCATTCATTTCTTACAAGTTGGTATGATCAAGCCCATTTTGTTTTGCAATTCTGAATTCCCTTAGATGGTTATTAAATTTTTATTTTTTTCCACTTTCACTTTCAGTAAGAACTGTGAGGCTATAATAAAAAGAATTGAGAATATCTCAAAAGCTTGACCTTGTATTCCAAAGAATAATCTTGAATTTAAAAAGATATTGTATATTGAGCTTTTATTAATTTACAAACTTAAAGAACATATTACAAGTTAAAACAGTATGCAACCAAATTTACATCACCTCTCGTAATGGAATGATTACACTACACAGACTGCCATCCTGGCTAGCAAAGCAGATATAGTTTTCTGAGATGCACATTTTTCCATGAGTATTGAAGTGGCTGAATGGTACCCATAAGAAACACTCATGTACTTCTTTTAATGTTTCTTCTTTTGGCAGCCGAAAAAAGGCAATAAATTGCTCACTGTGGGCTCGGTTTTCCAAACCTCTGCAGGAAAGAAAAAAACAAGGGGAAGGAGGGGTTGGTAGGGTTCAAATGATTAATTATAAAGTGTGTACGTGCTTATCCTGATTAATTTAAATACCCTGTAAAGCAGACAGATTAAACACTAAATGCTATATTCTTCAAGGAATTGTGAAATGGAAAAATGTGATTGCTAGCAAACTGATTTTGCTTGTTCTTTTTTCCAGTTTATTTATTTATTTTTTTTTTTTTTGTATTTTAGGGAAGGATCTACAGGGTGTTCGGGGTCTCACTACCAGATCGGACTCATAGTGATCTGCCTGTTTACAACCTCCCAGGAGCTGGGATTACAGGCGCACCACCAC